TGGTCGCTCACAACTTTGAAGGGCCTGCCATAGAGGTAGGAACGAAATTTCGACGTAGTCCAGATGATGGCGAGGCACTCCTTTTCTGTTGTGGAATAGTTTGCTTCTGCTTTGGATAGCGATCGGCTGGCGTAACTAATAACCCTTTCAAGTCCGTCAGCCCTCTGCACAAGAACAGCGCCAAGACCTACGCTGCTTGCGTCAGTATGTATTTCTGTCTCGGCGAATTTATCGAAATGGGCAAGTAACGGAGGTGTCTGGAGGCGATGTTTAAGCTCCTGGAAAGCGTGTTCCTGTGGCGTTTCCCACTTGAACTCCGAGTCGGCCTTGGTAAGGTTAGTGAGAGGATTGGCGATGCGGGCAAAGTTTTTCACGAACCGCCTATAATAGGCGCACAGGCCCAGAAATCGGCGCACGGCCTTCTTGTCAGTGGGCAACGGGAAGTCGGCGATGGCGGCTGTTTTCCGTGGATCGGGACGAACTCCAGACTTGCTGATAACGTGCCCCAGAAACAAGAGCTCCTCATACGCAAATCTGCACTTTTCTGGCTTCAGTGTGAGTCCGGACGTCTTGATGGCTTGAAGTATAGCTTCAAGGCGCCGAAGATGCTCGTCGAAACTCGAGGAAAACACGACGACGTCGTCCAAGTACACAAGGCAAGTCTGCCACTTCAATCCTGCCAGTACTGTATCCTCAATGCGTTGAAAAGTTGCAGGCGCTGAGCAAAGGCCGAAGGGCATCACCTTAAACTCGAAGAGGCCGTCCGGTGTTATAAACGCCGTCTTCTCTCGGTCTCTTTCGTCGACTTCGATTTGCCAATAGCCAGTCTTGAGGTCCATTGACGAGAAGTACTTGGCGTTATGGAGCCGATCAAGTGCGTCGTCTATTCGTGGGAGAGGATACACGTCCTTTCTTATGATTTTGTTCAGGCGGCGATAATCGACGCAGAAACGTAGGGTCCCATCCTTTTTCTTCACTAACACCACGGGGGATGCCCATGGACTCTTGGACGGCTGGATAATGTCATCTCCCAGCATTTCATCAACTTGTCTCTTCATTGCCTCACGTTCTCGCGTCGAAACCCTGTACGGACTCTGACGGAGTGGTCTGGCATTTTCTTCGGTTATGATTCGATGTTTCGTGATTGGGGTCTGCCGAATTTTCGATGACGACGAAAAGCAATTTTCGTATTGCAGGAGCAGGGCCTTGAGCTGTTCTTGCTTATCGTTCGGAAGTCTGGGACTGACGTCGAAAGCTATGGGAGGGGCTTGGTTTCTCTGAGCAGGTTCCGCAGAATCGGCGAGGGCGAAAGCACTGGTGGCTTCGACAATTTCTTCGATGTATGCGACCGTTGTTCCTTTGTTCACATGTTTGTACTCATTGCTGAAATTCGTGAGCATTAACCGTTGCTTTGCCTCCCCGCAGCTCTGCAATTCCTCTTGCGACGCAAATATTTCGGGTGACCAACAGATGTTGACTGCCTTCAACGACGCCTTCCAAGTCAGGTGATTTAGGAGCGCCGACTGAAATAATGACGCTTGAGCGAGGCGGAATGGTGACTTGTTCTTCCAGCACATTCAAGGCATGGTGTCCTGATGGCGTGCGCGGCGGTTGTGCTTCTTCTGTGGATAACGTTATTGACCTTGTTTTTAGGTTGATGACAGCACCATGAAGGCATAAGAAGTCCATGCCAAGGATGACATCTCTCGAGCAACGCTGTAGGACTACGAAGTCTGTAGGATAAATACGGCCGTTAATGGTGACTCTCGCTGTGCAGATTCCTGCAGGCGTTACGAGATGACCTCCGGCTGTGCGGATTTCAGGGCCTTTCCAAGCTGTCCTAACTTTCTTTAACTTCGCGGCGAACGACCCCCTGATGACAGAATAGTCGGCTCCAGTATCGACGAGAGCAGTCACACTGTGGCCGTCGATAAGATCGTCGAGGTCGCTAGTTCGCCGTCTCGCATTACAGTTAGGGCGTGGCGTCGGGTCACGGCTGCGTCGGCTTGTTCCGCTGCTTCCATGTTGCGTCGTCCGGCCACCTTCGGTAAGTGACCTTTTGCCTTCAGGGCTTTGCCTGGTTGGTGTTGTGTTCAAAAAGCTCCGTCGCGTCGTCGTCGTCGGAGGATCTTCGGTAGTTCGTCGCACAGCAACCGCACCTCCATCGGTTGTTGCCCTTAGTTTCCCGGATGCGGGCTAGGAGACCGGCCCCGCGTTGGGCCAGAGTACTGCCGCGGGGTGCGGTGACATGCGGTGGCTGGGCGACGGCGAACGGGAAGGACTTCGTGGTGTCCATTGAGTTCCTGCCAGGTAGTCGGCGATGTCACGTAGCCGATCTCCTGGCTGCGGACGCGGTGCATTGACGGCGAAGCCACGCAGTCCCATCTGTCGGTACTGGCAACAGAGATATGTGTGCCCGGCTTCGCCGCAGTGGTAGCAGAGCGGGTGGTTGTCAGGTGCACGCCAAACGTCTGTTTTCTTCGGTGCAGTGCGCTGGCCCGCTGGGGAACGGTAGGACGTCAGTTCGGGTGGTGGCGGCGGTGGCGTCTGGCGACGGAAGTGTGACGGGGCGGCGTAGCTCATAGTTTCTGGCTCGGGCGGCGGTGTTTCGGGAATTCGAATCGATTGCCGGACTTCTTCTCGCACAATGTCGGCGATCGAATCCATTTGAGGCTGCGCCGAAGGCAACAGTTTGCGCAGCTCTTCCCGCACGATCGCTCGGATCGTTTCACGCAGGTCGTCGGAGTCACTGGCTTGAGCAGCACATTCTGAAGTCAGGCGACGATTATACTGTCTGGTGCGCATGTCCAGCGTTTTTTCGATGGTGGTCGCCTCGGATACAAATTCTTGGACGGTGTTCGGTGGATTCCTCATTAGTCCCGCGAAGAGCTCCTGTTTGACCCCTCGCATGAGGAAACGAACTTTCTTTACCTCAGGCATGTCTGGGTCAGCGTGACGGAATAGGCGGGTCATCTCGTCTGTGAAAATTCCAACCTTTTCATTTGGTAGCTGAACCCGGGTCTCGAGTAGAGCAGCGGCCCTCTCTTTGCGAGCGACGCTTGCGAACGTTTGCAGAAATGCGCCGCAGAAGACATCCCACGTTCGGAGCGTGGACTCCCAATTCTCTAGCCAGGTCCTTGCGGTGTCTTCCAGGTAGAAGTACACACGACGGAGCTTTTCTTCGTTGTCCCAGTGGTTGAGGGCAGCCACACGGTCGCATGTTTCTAGCCAGGTTTCCGGGTCTTCAAACGATGAGCCATGGAACGTTGGTGGTTCCCTGGGTTGATGAATGACGATCGCGGGCTGGGACGCTCCGGTTGTCATTGTCGCTGCAGTCGAGGTCATGGTCTTAGTCTTCCGCGCCTTGTCTTCTAGAAGGCCGTACTCCGGTGGGAGACCTTGCTGTCGGCAGCTCGTTCGCTGCTCTTGGTTGGCGTCGGTGTCTTCTCCGCGACGGGGGCTGGGTTCACGGCTTGACGGGGGCGTCCGGTACATGAACGAAGCAGCACCTCCACCAGATGTCACGAGGTCGTGACGTGGCCAAAGACAGGAAACTTCGTGTTGGGATTTAACTGTTTATTTGGGCGAACCTGTGCCCGGTAAAGGGAAAGTCTAATTACAGCAGCAGTCTTGCACAGATAGCAGTCTCGGACTGATAGCGGTGAACGCAGCGTCGGCCTTCGATCAACAACTGACAAGCGGCGAAGCGCATCGGCATTTATACCCTTGCCGTCGAATGTTCTAGCGTTATCGCTGGCGGTGGCGTAGGTTCCAGAACAATCTGTACCGTTCGCACAGTGGGCGTGATCTTATCGAAATGATCTACTACAGTCCGGAACCTTCTCGAAACCTGCAGGCGCGATTTGCGCCGCGAATCGTGTGGTGTTTCGGAACGATAACAAAAACTTGTGAAATGGAACGTGGCAATATTTTGCACGAGTAAATACCACGTCAGCATTCGGTTCCTGTGAAATAAAAAAGGCGATTTTTTCTCTAAAACGAAAACGAATAGTAGATGTAAGATGCGGGGCCGACGTAAACTCGTGCAGTATGGTCAAAATTTTTAGTACATTATTTGTATGGGAATCTTGCCAGGACCACACTGATTCGTCCCAAAACACGTGTCCTCCCAAAACCAGGGCATGTATAATCGAGGTTGCATTGTATCTTTCAACAACAACAACAACAAAAAAAAAGCTCCCGTATCTACATGTAATCTGCAAATGTCAGCGAAAGACGATAATCTTGCGTGTGGAGAGAGTGAACAAGACATTTGTTTGATGTTCTGTGCAAGAAAATTGGTGAACGGTATTCTGGAGGCGCTGCGTTAGAGTGCCTCGAGCGTGCAGCAGAGGCGAATGAGCACATCAAGTCACGTCACACGTAAGACATAAGCACCATCTGGCAATTTTTTTTTTCAAAAACAAAGCGCATGGCTCTGAGACGGGTGTGCGCGCCCATCTCAAAGGTGATAAGGTCTAGAACGCAAGGCGACGGGCAGGTGCCACCACCGTTTTGTTTTAGCAAAGCGTTGGAAACACTCGCCTTTCCGTGCAAGCGTTGCATGGTCAGCGCAGCGTGATAAGCGCTACGGTCCTTAAAATCACTTCTGTATGCCTTTTATAGAAAGAGACACACATGCAGAATATATACGTGTTGTTATGGTGCCCCATACATGCGCAATAATTGATTTTTAATTGACAATTGCACAAGCATGAACGCTCAACCTCGAGCAACATAGGTGGGCGCTGGGGATGGGGTCGGCCGTTTCAAATACCCGATGCGGTTAAGAGTGGACAGACAGACAAGTGTACAGACAGACCAAAATTTTTGCGTCGAAGGTTCCCAAGAAAGACTATCGTCTCTAAAATTGGTGTTGCATTCAAGAGATGCTGATCTCTTGAAGCTCTACTGTCCTTACTCTCATTTCCCCTATTAGATGGACCGGAACTTTTAAACAATTTCTGGGGAGAAGCTGGGTGCTTGGATATGCCACTCACCCTTTGTTGTTGCTGAGAAGGCGTCAGTCTGCACACTGCACTGGGAGTCGTTGTACTGCGGGCAGGTGATCTGCATTGCATGAAAGTCCCTTTTACTTGGCTGCCATAACCAAAACGTACATCCAGAATTAATGACAACCGTACATCCAGAATTAATGACATCAATATATTTCATTCCCTGAAGCGGACAGAGCTATAAGTAGGAAAGCAGTCCTATAGAAAGTGTCAGAGCCTTACTCTTTTGCTTCATATCTTCGATAAACTGCTACACTGTCTCCCAAAATGAAGGCACTAATGCAAAGCGGTTAAGTTATCAGGTTCGGTGCTTCAACACAAGCAGGAGCTTCACATCTCCAAATTATCAACAAAGATCCTTTATATCCGAAGTCATACTCTAGACTGAACACTTCCTACGCTGCCTGATCTGGTTGCTATAGTTGGATACAATGTTAGAACTACATGCCATTCTTTCCTCCAAGGGTGGATACACACAATGCTGGTGCCAATGAGTGCACACCCCAGACCAACAGCATGAGCCGGACAGTCAGTGACCTCGCGTTTGAAGAGCTTTGACAAGTGCTTGAGTGGGACTATTTCTCTAGTGGCAGAGGCAATAACTTAAAGTGCTTCAGCCTGCCAGCAGCACCTCTCTCCTGACTTCTTAAGTTGCATCTGACTATTGTCCAATGCATCACCGAAGTGAAGCCTTCTCAGGGCTCTAGTCATTTCATCCGAGATGTGTGGGCTTCTATGCACTACCTGCCATATAATAGAAAGACGACCGAACTTGAACCCCCTCCACAGTGACAAGAGGGTCCGACGTGTACTGTGGGCAACACCAGTGCGCAATACCTGTCGATGATGACAACCGCAGATGCGGTGGGGCGGTGGTGGTGGGGCGGGGGGTGGTGGTGCTGTTGCTGCTGCCTCGGGGAGGAGCAGCTCGTGTCCATCTCCCCTGGCTGGGTGGACCAGGCACCATGGGGCGCCGCAGCTGCCGACGCCAGTCAGCCGACGTCCCTCACTGAAACGCACGACCCACTGACTCACTCACTTCTCTCACTTTTGCACAATGCCTAACAAAACACGCCTCTTGCCATGAGAAGTTGCTTGACGAACCAGAAAACACAGCCGTATAAACTCACTGAAAGGTTAGATCTTGGTTGCTTATGATAAGTGCACAATGCTTTGTTGTAAAAAAAGTGACTCACACTATGTTCATGGGAAAATTTTATTCTCCAGTGTATCAAAGATGAATTAGAAATACACTCAGACTTCAATGTAACGAACCCAGAAATAATGAAATATTTGTAATAACGAAGTAAATGAAGGATAGTCTTGCAATAGACAGAGTTTAAAAAGTATATAAAAATTTTTGGATATAACAAACTTATTTTCGTAGAAGATGTAACTTCTTTATAATGAGGCTTGTACTTTGCAATTTGTCCAGTTTAATGCCAGTTAGAAGCTCAAAAAATTAAAAGAAGAGAAGGCAACACCAACTCTAATAAGTTTCGAAAATTCTCGAAAAGCTGTTCACTGAAGCTTGACGTAACATTATTTGAACACGCATAAAAATCAGACTTGTAGGCTAAGAATTATATATGTAGTCAATCGCATATTTTTGGAATGATTCAGGTGTAATCAAAAACACTTTCTGGCAGTTTTGCAATTAGTAAATCATTAGGCCGCTAACAATTGCTATATTATGTCACTTTTATGGTTAATTGCATGCAATTGGTTGCCTGATTTATTTTAAGCAATGCTTTCTGTAACTAACTTACTTTTTGAATGACAAATTTCAAGTTCTCAGTCACTTTGTTAAAGGAAGTGCACAAATTAGAGCACTAGAACTTCATAATAAATTTCATTTTATGTTAACAATCCACCAAATATTACCCCCAACTAATTTAATCAGTGCATTTATGCCCTTATGGCAACGAAACCTGTCACGAGTTCATAGACCCCCCCCCCCCTGACACAAGCTAACACAAAATACCTAATTTCTTGTGTATAAGGTCTTTACGTATGCCTTATAATGCCACCCTTTCTTACAGTGTGCACATCTGAGAAGCTTTCAGTGTGACTGCTGACCTTTTTGAAAATGAAATGAGGAAGAATTACCAATGAAATCACAAAAACCAGTTTCAGTGACAATAAATTACGCGTAAAAGGCTGCAGAAGACCTGGGCAAATAACCTCATTAGGCATTTTATTTACTGCATTTACGCAGTGTAGAACATAAAAATTGTAGTTCACTGCCACCTGTACAAGAATTCTAGAAATGTATTGCCTGGTGACAGGAATATTTCGTTCCAGCCATGTTTCGAACAGTCCCTTTGCTGTAAAGAGTTTCCAGTATCCAAGGCCAAAATTTTGTAATGGCACCTCCTGCTTGATTTCTTGTCACTCTTCATCGTGTCCTTTGCATCATGTTCTATCACAATGTCCTCATATTATGTCCTTTGCATTCCAATATCGTGGTATCATTACGAAGGACACCATAGCAGAGGGCTCGGGAAATTTCGACCAAGTGATTTTTTTAATGTTCACTGTTCGACCAAAATGCAACAGCCACAGCAGGGATCCAAGGCCAAAATTTTGTACTGGCACCTCCTGCTTGATTTCTTGTCACTCTTCATCGTGTCCTTTGCATCATGTTCTACCACAATGTCCTGATATGTCCTTTGCATTCCAATATCGTGGTATCATTACGAAGGACACCACAGCAGAGGGCTTGGGAAATTTTGACCAAGTGGTGTTTTTTAATAGTCACTGTTTGACCGAAATGCAACAGCCACAGCAGGGATCGAAACCAAGACCTTCGGGTCATCAGCCTGAGCACCATAGCCCTGTCACACTTACCAACCTAAATTTGTGACCAGCCAATCTCTTTGATGACTAGAGTGAATCATTATGACAACCAAAACATGCAAAATGCAAAAAGAAATGGCTCCCTAAAATGGCTCCCTAGTTTCTATTTCGCTTAGCACGCTCGGCAAGAACAACTCACCCAAAGATTTCGCACACGATGACGATGCAGAAAGCCCAACACAGATTGCCTCTCTAGGGACTCAAACTTGTTCCGAAGCACCATGCTGCTACTCTAACTGCAAAGAGAAAGAGAGCATGTCAGTAGAGTGTTGGCAAAAGGAACCAACCTAAATTCCTTTACTTTACTGATCCGAATTTCCCTGAAACATCAGAGCCCAGTAACCCCAATTTACTGGACACAGTAACAACACACTGGATAGTTCAGTTCTGATGAATGTAATTGCGGCATCAATTATTTTTAAATGTAACAACCGGTATGCACAGCTGCCCGAGATAAACATGTCACGTTGCGATTAATCTTGTCTAATCGTAAAGTTGGCTTTACTGAATGCTTTCAAAGAGTCAAAATTACACCAATATCACCAAAACTAAAGACTGTGAGAACGAAAGTATGTTACATTGCTTTAAATTGTACTATTTAAATCTACGAGTACTGTGCATGACAGCCCAATAAAATATCACTGACAGCTTAAGAAACGTCTTTTCTATGTCAATCCTCATTTGACTTCCCGTCCTTGTTAAGAGAAAAAAGCTTGCTTCCAAAGGAAAGTAACACTTACAAGGCGGTTCACCTGTGAGCTGCACTGGTGCACTCAACTACAGTTAGGTTATGGCGAACGTGACAGCCTTCACAAATTTAAGGCACTGTACGTATGCACACTGAGACTCGTGCAGTGCGAAAAACCTAGACAAAGCCCAAGTGCTTTGTGATTCAAAAGATCTTGTTTATAGAAAGGACAAGGTAGCATACCCACAGTGAATCATGCCCTAGGTAGGTATGACAGAAAATGACTCAGGCCAATTTAGTTTCAGTGGCGCTCATGTGCGGAGTGAGCGAAATTGATTTACAAGTAGCAGAAAAAAAAAAGAGGAACGCAGGGTCATGGCTGTAAGAGCGATGGAGCAAAAACAAAGATGCATCCGCAGGGAAAACACAAAGCACTCCAGGCGGATTTACTAATGCGCATGAAAGAGACAAAAAAAAAGGGGAGGCTATCAAGCGATGTGCATGCATTCATAACAGCATCTCCTACCCATTCAAAGGCAGCCGGTAAGCCCATTCATATTATAAAAGGTACAGCAGGGGGTGGATTTCTGTGCGTATTAAAATTGAGTCTATGGTCCCAATACACTTTTTTTTTTCTTCTTGTCTGAGAATCTTCTGTCCTACAGTCAGCTTAAAGCAGTAGGCAGTCAGTCCTTGATTGTCAGAAAAAAAGACTGCACAAAGATGACAGCCATAGCGTCGCCACAGTTACGAGAGCGATGTAGACCACCACAGGCATCAAAGTCGACATCTCTGAATTGCTTCGTCAAGTGGACTTCTTAATTGTGCATAAAAGTTAATCGCATTTCTTACACTCCATGCATACGAAAATGAATTTCTGATGGCTTAGAAATGAACTTACAGTCTTACACTAGGCAACAGGCAGAATATTACCACACTCAGGAGACCTTCACAACAAGGATACGTTTCTCAAGTACTAACTTAAAGCTGTGACAGATTATGTTGCTTAGAACTGCTCAAGATGTTAAAAATGATATCTGGGGTCTTACATGCCAAAGCAATGGCATGGCGAGGCATGTCGTAGTGAAGTGCTTTCGATATTTAGACTATTACGTGTTCTTTGACACACACTGACGCAACACAAGCCTCCAGGATTTCGTCTACACCAAAACGAAACCACCTTAATTGTGATCAAACCCACTTCAACGCGTCCCAAACAGCAGTGAAAAGTCCACTAACTTAAAAAACTGAATAATTATAAAAAGGAATGAAGGAAGATATTCAACAACAATAATTGAGCGTACAAGGAAAAAATAAAGGATGCAAAAAAAGTGACACCATATTCACGGGGTGAATGATGGAGAGTGGGGCGAAGCATTCATCTGTCCATTCATTCTTGCTTCCGTCCATCTATGCGTCCATCTGTGTGACCGTCCATGCGTCCATCTGCCCGTCCGTGTGTGCGTCTGTCCGTGCGTCCGCACGTCCATCCGTGTGTTCGTCCCTGCGTTTGTCCATGCGTCCAATCGTCTGTGCAGCCATCTGTGCATCTATCCATGCATTTGTCTGTGTGTCCGTTCGTCCATCTAGTCAACACTAAGTGCCACCATCTCGCATCTTTTCATCATATATTGCGAATATAGAAGCATCGCCATCTAGCGGACATTCCAAGGACTGAACGAGAAGTGGCTTACACACACTTTCTTATGCCGTGCGCTTCTTGTCTACTTCCCACCTTTAACCACCTCGAGTTCATGGTATATACTAGTTCACTGTATTCATGGCACTGCGGCCCAACGCTCGCTAAACCTTTTTAAAACCAAGGAGGTTACGCCCAGCGAGTATAACAAAACAACCCTCTCTTGTCAGATAGTGCTCAATCTACATGCCAATGACTACTAATTGGGAATGAGAGACAGGAGAATTCGGCTTTTGGTTTAATGCGCACGCTCCGAATTCTTTATTGTTCAACGCACAGAAGAAATCTCCCACTGGCACCATCTTGCAGGTCAAAGCGTAGAATGGTTACACACTACGACGAGGGACGAACGGGTGCCGCTTTAAGGAGCTTCGCCCCTAAAAATGTATGCTATGGAAGCAAACCAGTGTTGCCCCCCCCCCCCCAAGACAAGCTAAGTGAAAGTGCGGTAACTTGAAGCCTATATCTAAAATTTGCCCAAGATTAGCAAGTACTGCACAAGATACAAAGCAAAAGTGTGAAAAATGCAATAACAAGGAAGCATATAAGGTCAATAAGCAGGAAAACTTGGAAACATAACTGATCATCCTGCAAATATGACATTACGTGGTGTTGGTGAAAAAATGCATAGTTAGAAAACACCAATGGTAATCTTTAACAGAAAGAACCCTATGTTAGGAAGACCATTGCAGATCTCCATCAGAATACTGCCTGCGGACTCTGACGTTACTTTCTGTGCCTTTGGTGTCAAAATTTCAAGTTTTCTCAGCTTCTCAAACCTTGCCTCGCTCGCAATATGCCGTCAGTGGCTAAAAGAATGGAATTTATAATACTTTTGTTCCATTTTTATGTCCAAATGAGCATAGTTCGCTTTTTGATAAGAATTTATTTGCACTTAGCAAATAGCGACAATGAACCTAAAGAACGAATCAAGGAGGATAACATTATTCTTATTAAAATAATTTTGAATACTTGCATATTGTTTGAACAGCAGTTGAAAAAGCTGCTTTCAGGCATCTATTACCGCCCCCTCTGTGCAACTGAATAGTTATACTACGACATCTCCTCATACGCATGCCATACAAAGCTAGCGACGGCATTATTTGAATTCAACTGAAGGAATGAACAACTTGAGCCATAAGTTTTGGTTTCTTTTCCTAAACAGCATACACTAAAAGGAGCTGCATACCACTCAACATATTCGGAGGTTCCCATAATTTCAATCTTACTGAGCGTTGACAGTAACCAACACAGAGAAACTATGGCATTGCTATGATTAATATTAGGAAGTTTGTGGAAGGTTCAGTCTGTGTATGTGGCCCAAAGGTCATATGGGGGGGAAAGGGGGGGGGGGGGAATGCGCCCTGTAATGAATGCCACCGAACAAAGTCTCTTTTTCAACACGAAGTAAATGATCTACTATTGTTACCTACCATAGACAATATATATACTTCTACAGCACCCTTGAGTGCGAAGGACATTGATAAGTGGTAGTCATCTTAACAATGCACTACTCAGCAGAGAAAACATTTTTTAAAAAGTGGTCTCACAGATTCTGCACTTAGTAACATTCATGCATGACAAAAAATCTGTTGTGTAACACATACTAACAAAGATCATATCACGATCGCTCAAATTCAAATTCTCTGGGATGAGAGGGTCTACAAACTTGTCCCCAGTTTTGATATTTTGTTAGTTTAAGCACAAGTCAGTGGTGCTGTTTCCAATTGTATATTTCTTTGCAACTCGCATGAATGTGCTAACTGTTAGCTAAACCCTTATATTTACAACATTCGCATTGCGCAGTGTATATGCGCAGTGTATATGTGCAGACATCTTCGCACAAGTAAGAAAATAACATGAATCTCCGATAGATACCAAAAACAACATCGAACCGCATTAGTGGATGTCACAGTGCAAATCCAATAAGAAAATTATTATTTGTGCAGTGGGTAAAAAAATACATATGTTCAGTTCTCATATTATGCTTTTGTTCCAGTATGCCGATTCCACACAACACGCTTTGGACAATGTATAATTTGCTATTAATGCTCGCCACCAATGCACAGAAAGCTATCTAATGACAAAAATGTGGGCATACCGCCAGCTACATTCAAATAAACTTAAATTAACAGCAATTTTTTAATCATATTTTCTGTGGGAAACAGCGCAAAAAACGGGACGTAGAAAGATTGAACACACAGAAATGCAGCCATTTTTTCTGTTAACTTCAAAATCATGTATCAATTGGCCCTTCGAGAAACCCTTCTGCAATTGTATTTACATGTCAGCTTCTCTCAAAGGGCCACTCACCAGGTTTGACAATATTGAGCTGACAAGCACAATGCGTAGACGAGGTGTTCATGATCACGTTTGCCAAAATTGATGCGGGGCTAATGTGCCAGCGTTCCGCGTGCGTTCGGGTCCCCGTGGTCAGTGCATTGAGCAGACGACCGCCGTGCAACGCTCCTTCACGCTCGCGCTCTCATTGTGCACATCTACTCTACCGCGTCTAAACGAGCGTTTCCAAACGATCCCGCAGAAACAGGCAGAAGACCACAGAATAACGCTGATCAACAAAGCAACGCCGCTCGCGTGCACGGGGGCTGGGCTTGTTCGGGCACGTCATCTCTTGGTCGGTTGCTGGAGAGGGTGGGGAAGAGATTTGCCTTGCGAAGGTTACACGGAGGAGCGGCAAGGGTTTTGAGCTCACCTCCTCTCATCCTCGTTTCGCGCCCCTTCAAAAAACCTGTTTTCTGCACTCGTAATGAACCGATTCGAAAAATATTTGTGGCAAAACGTTCTTCTTCGGACACCCAACAACTTCCACTGTCTAACTAAAATTCGGT